ACAAAATTGACCTAATATTCAAAAGCCCTAGTCCTTTTTTAACATTGTTAAGCATTTTACAACCATTGTTTTTCTTATGACTTTTACCTTTACCTTTTATGACTTTTTGAAACTCACGATCCGCCACTTTCCCACAGGTCCTCTGACCCTGTATAAAAAACCTCCCGTACATGCAGCTTCTCTTGACTTTGCATTAGCAATCAAACTTTTCAATTCACTCCTCTGTTCAGCAGTCAGATCATTGGCAATCCATACCTTACTAAGTTCTTCAGACATTTACTAAGTTTGTATGAACTCTTCATCACCAACTCTTTAGCTGAAATGTTATTCATCACTATCAAAATTGGCCTATTTGTTGATTCAACCCTTTTATCTAGTCTTATTATTCTTTTCATATCAGAATCTTTGATATCACTCGACAGTTTCTTGATTATTTCCTTGACTCGATCTCTGTCATTATCTCCTTCAGTTACATTAAACATCATAATGTTTTTTTCTCTCTCTTTTATTTCCTGTGCCTTATCTAATGTTTTTTGTACTGTTTTTACTTCAACATTAATGCTTTGCATACCTTTTTTAACCTCCTGGCCAACAACACTTGCCCATGTTTTTTGCAATTCACTTTTAAAATGATCAATTTCAACACTTAACTTGGAACCTGGTTCATCAAGCTTTTCTAATTTTGAATCATTATCTTTAATCATATTTTTGATTATGTCCAGTTCATGTTTGAACGAAATATTCGCAGCATTAATTTGATCCACCTTCAACTTGATTTCATTGTTATTATCATTTACTGTCTTTGTCAATAATCTTATGTTGGATACCGTCTTCAAACAAATATCACAGTACCATTTGAAATTCAACAACAACCTCAACAACCTCATCATTTACTCCAACACATTTTGCATGAAAAATATTTTCACATTGAAAACATTGTACACATTGCACACCGTCTTTAGTAACTTTTACGCACTTTGTACATTTACTCGCCATTGTAAAATTCTAGATAACAAATAGCTATACAAAACAACCTTTGGAATCGTACGAACTCACAACAGAAAATAACAAACGTATATATCACCAATACAGTTTAAACGATTTAATTAATTTTCGAAATATTTAATTAATTTTAATATTAATCCTAAAAATAAAAATATATTAATACTTCCCCTAATTTTAACTATAAATTAATACCAAAATTAACAATATAACATCGAACAAATCACCAAAATAAGAGAAAAATATAGAGAAATTCAAATGCGGCCAAACCGTTCAAAATTGTTTCAATGTATTTTTTCAACATATTGCTTTCTATCCCTAAGATAGCTTTCACACCACGAGTAGGCTACACCTCTTATTCCATTCATATATAATTTCTTCAAAAATGGCCTTTCTATGGTACTTAGACCTGGAACGCTCAATGTTGGATCACCGACTGGCCGCAGTATGGAAATCGCAGAAATGCTTGAGCGTAGAAGGATTGACATCTGCTGCCTTCAGGAAACCCGATGGAAATCGAATGGTTTCTGTCATGTCAACTCAGACAAAGAAAAATATAAACTATTCTGGAATGGTCAAAAGACGGCCAAAAATGGTGTTGGAATTTTTGTCAGAGAACCACTAGCCCAAGAAGTACTGGATATTAAAAGGATTAATTCACGTCTCATGTGGATCAAGCTTCGCATAGAAAAGCAAACAATGATTATTTTTTCTGCATACGCACCACAGACAGGCGAATCAGAAGAGATGAAAAATGACTTCTGGGCTGCATTCTCTGACACCATCTCAACAATACCAAAATCTGAAACAATCCTGATTGGAGGCGATCTCAATGGCCACGTTGTAGAGAAAACAGATGGTTTTGACAACGTACACGGCGGTTTTGGCTATGGAAAACGTAATGAAGATGGCAACCGCATCCTTGAGTTTGCTGAAAGTAACGGGTCTTGTTTACTGAACACATATTTTAGAAAGAGGTTGGAACATCTCATAACATACAAAAGTGGACCATCAGCCACGCAAATTGATTTCTTTGCTGTCAAGCAACAACACCGAAGGCTGTTCAAAAACGTCAAAGTTATACCTGGCGAATCATGTGTCGCCCAACATAGACTCTTTGTGGCAGAACTGGTTTTCGAACTGTCAAACATAAGTCTAAACAAACGCTGAATATATATATATATTTTTACAATATTCTATGAATTCTACCGAATGTTTGACACTAGCTATGATCAAATCATGACGTTCATCATAACCTTGAAATCGCTTATCAAGGCCGGATAAAACAGCAGTAAGCAAAGGCGCTGCCATCTTCAAAGTTGGTTTTACTGTTAGTAACTTTGTACGCAATGACATTAACGTTGGCAACAAAAACCCAATAAAACACTTCGTTTCTGCTTGGAGTATGTCCAATGCAGCTGCCAGTGGTTGCATAACACAACAATACTCTTTCAAAAAAAGGATGTCATTGGGACGAAATTGTGGGACCTCAAGAGCTACAAAAACTTCAGCAATATTGTCCTCAGATTGTTTTTCAAGGACCTGTCTCACTTTGTCAACTGCATTAAAGTACGAGTTCCAACGTGTAGCATTAGGCACAATGAAGGAAGTGTGAAACTAATCACGCACAATATCTGTAAATTGTGTGCTACGTGAAGTCTTGTTCCACAATGCAGAACACTTGACCATTGTTGACCGAGAGAGTTTTTTGTAAACAGCATCACTATTTGCACTTTCTATATCATGACTAGCAATCAAATTCAATGTGTGAGCAGCACAACGCTGATGAGGGGGTAAATATAAGTCACTGTCCTCATCATGCTCTGGTTCACTTAGCAATGCATCGACATCAACAAAAGCAACATTGTTATCATCATCATCACTAACTACACTACCATCATTTGCAAACTCTTTAAATGTTTTAACAAAGTTTGAACCATTGTCAGTTACTGTCATCAGTACTTTGTGGTTAATACGATACGCCGTATGTACAGCATTTAACCTAACAGCAATGCAATCATACGTGTGACGCCCTTTCATGCGCTCACAGCACAAAGCCGCTGAACGTCTTTATTGTCAGTTGAATTTGATTAAGTCGTCCATTAATTTTTCAATTTCAATTTCTTATTGAAAATTTTTAGGTTTCCTCATGTAATGACAATTGAGTCCAAGGTTAAAGAATTGTTGTTCACTTTATTTGTTTTTGAACATTTGAACTTGGACGTTTGAAGGAGGATAAGAGCCTCAATTGATGGGCTTCATCCAAGATTCTTGAAGGAAGTCAGAATGGAAATAAGTCGGGTTTTGACAACCATATATAACAATTCTCTTTCATCTGGAAAGATACCATCCGTCTGGAAGGATGCATTAGAAATACTTTTATACAAAAAAGTAGATGACATGAACTGTGCAATTACAGAACAGTCAGCGTAGCAAGCATTGTATGTAAAGTACTAAAGAAAATAATTAAAAATCGGATCATAAAACACTTATCAATAAATAAAACAATTGGTAAAAGTCAACACGGTTTTGTAAACAAAAGATCATGCCTAACAATTCTGCTGGAGTTTTTTGAAAAGGTTCATGCCAACATGGATAGGAGTAAAGCCATAGACGTAGTATATTTGGACATAACCGAGGCATTTGATAAATTGTGAAAGACTTACATATGAGGAAAGATTGAAGAGATGTGGACTGACAATTTTGGATAAACGTAGGACTAGAGGAGATCTTATTCGGGCGTTCAAAATCACAACCGGTAAAGATGAGATAGATTCATCTCTATTTTTTATTTTACAGAAAATAGAAACACTAGAGGGCACCAGTACAAGCTTTTCAAAGAAAGGGTAGGAACAATAAAAGGAAGGTTTTTCAGTTCGAGAGTTATTGAACATTGGAATAGGCGGACGAAAAAACTGTAACGGCTTCTACAATGCAGGAGTTCAAAGTTAGACTTGGAAGATTGGGATTTTAAATCCATATTATTAGTCAAAATCGATCCAGTGGTTCTCACACAAAATATCTACTGAACCGCTATAACATTTGTTATGCTATGTGAGACGTCTTGATAGTGAAGTGGTCGTAACACTAATATACTATATACACTTCATCATCAAGACGTCTCACAATGCATACACACACAAAGAGGTTCCATCAAATCTCACTTGCAATCCAATAACCCGCTAAATTCTTGAAAACAACACAAAATAATTCATTAAAACAACAACACTCTACATCTAAAAATTGCAAAAGCTGTCTTTATATATATATCAATAAACCCCAAATAAACATCCAAAATAGAATGATAACATCATTATCAACTTGACGCCTCAATACTAACTTCAATAACATTGAAGAATAAAGGAATGATAACAACGAAGATGAAGTATACGACACCAACTAATAAACTTTGCTAAAAAACTTTGCTTTGTTTAAAGAAATTATATAAACCAAACCTGCAATGAAGGCGACTTATGAAAAAATGAAATAAGGCTTTATCTGCATGATTAATTCGGATAACAACTGTTTCATTAAATTTTCATAATAAACTTGGATAATTTTATTTTCAACAAATTGAACAATTTCAAAAAATTTAAAAGACAAACTTTAAATTGATTAATGCCATCAATTCAGTAGAATTCACATAATACTGTATATGTATATATATATATTATATATATATATATATATATATATATATATACACTACTGGTAATGTACACATACAAGTTAAGTTTTTTTTGTGTTTCAACAAGCTTCATCTTATCTTTAATGAGTATTAACTTGAAATATCAACATCTGGATCAATTTTCAACTCAAGTTTGCAACTCAAGAAAATGTGTTACTTAACAATTTCATACAATTTTATAAAGCTTTACTTTTCATTTTATCTATTTAAGATATAATCTTTAAATTGATCACGATGATGATGGTCACGATGGTGATAATGAATAATTAATATTTACTAAAAGTATAATTTCTTTCCACCATGTTACCAGGTGAAGGCAGTGAAGACAGGATCAGTGTACTGGGGTGTCTGTACAGCTCTCTCTTATTTCTACATGGTCAATATCATGTTTATTTATATTAAATATTTTATATAATATATATATGTATATAATATATATATATGATGTTTCTGACGAGATTGGGCAAGCGGGGTTGAATGAGTTTGTGGTGTTGTTGGGTGATTTGAATGGTCAAGTGGGGGCGGATGTAGACGGATATGAAGGTGTGCATGGGGGATGGGGATATGGTATACGGAATGAGGAAGGGCGTAGAGTGTTGGAGTTAGCGGATGCACATAGCATGGTGGTGGGGAATACTTGGTTCACAAGGGAACCAGCGCGATTGATTACTTATAGGTCAGGGGAACATAGATCGATGATAGACTATATATTGGTAAGGGCCAAACATAGGAAGTATGTGAAGAATGTGAAGGCGATACCTGGTATGCTGCAGCATAGTATGGTTGTGATGGATGTGACATCAAAAGAAATGGGGAGGAGGAAGAAGGATAAGTTTGTGGCAAAGAGAAAGACATGGAAGTTGCAGGATGCAGAGGTGAGGAAGGCATTTGAAGTGAAGGTGGCTGAAAATTGGGAGAGTGGTAAGGATGGAGATGTTTGGGAGAGATACAGGGACTGTGTGTTGGCTACGGCAGATAAAGTATGTGGATGGACGAAAGGAAAGTGTAGGCATGGTGAGACGTGGTGGTGGGATGAAGATATAAGAAGGGTT